CACAGACACCATAGTAGTAATCTCGAACTTCGATGCACGAAATTTCAGTAAAGGAAGGTTGAAAACAACAGTAGGGGGGCCAGAAGAAAATGCGATCGCTAGAACATGGCGTTCATTGGCCTGACGTTTCAGATTCTTAAACTCATTATCAGAGACAGCCGCATATAATGGGGCTGAGGACGACAGGGTTGCGGTATTCACAGGTGGCAGTTGTTATACAGTCACGTGCCTAATCCAATTAACAAACCCCGCATTCGTCGCTGATAGTGGTACATGACGCGATGATTGTTCCTTAGTCCACGCCCGAGTCGTTAATCCTCGAAATTTAATCACCGTCCTCGATCTTTGGCCTGGTAATTTGGCAATGTGGCTCGCTGTCACTGGAAACATTGGCTGCCCGCGTGGTTAATTACTCTGCCTAGACAATATCTCAGCACAGAATATGGACCTGCGAGGTCGTTGCGCTCGTTAATCGACTGCGGGCCAGAGAACAAAAATTCAAGCAGTTCATGGCTCACGCAGTTGTCAGTCCTTGCCAGAGTTTCGGTCCCGTCAAACTTTAGGGTGTGTGGCCCGTCGCATGAACCGTGAACTGAGAGTTAGCATGCTTTCTCCTCACTGCTGCCGCGCGTTCGGCCATCTTTGTGCGGAGTAATTCATATCGTTTTCCGAGGTTTATTACTCTGGTGTTTTGATTCAGTGGAATTTACGGAAACGATTGCGACCAAACTTATTTAACGGCGACTGGAGGTAGCCATGCCTCACCACAATCGCTGGGGCAAGAATTTTATTCACCAGATATTTCGAAGTCCGTTGCGGATCCACCCTCAGAGACAGTAGCAGTAACGGGTAATTAATAAATAGGAAATTGTAGTATCTATAGAATACAGTCGCTATGCTATTGCATACCTATGACAATTAATGGCTCCCCACTATCGAAGATAGTTGCCGGTTTGTGCGCTAAGCGTTTGATAGCCGGCATGCAGGTCTTGACCTGCTGAACTTTCATCACTCGTGCAGGATTTGGTAGTGAGGATTGTTCGGCCATCTGGATCCCCGGTACAGGCTTTAGACCATGCGTTCACCTGTGCGTTCTCCGAGTGGCGAATCGTTTTGGTCCAACCAAGTTTCAGCACTGTATATGAGTTGGGCAGGTCGTTACACTTATTGATAGACTGAAGACCCGTGAACCGCTATTCAAGTAACTCGCAATTCACATAACTGTCACCTCTTGCGAGAATTTCGGCGTCATCAAATATGAATGTGGCCGGCTGTTGTCGAATAAACCGCAACTTGAGAATTGACGTCATTTCTCCGCACTGCTGCTGTCTGTTCGGTAGTTCGCGTCTTGAAAAATCTTCCAGTTTTGCTGACGTGGTTGCTTTGTCCGCAACTATATCAGATTCTATAGATGACTTGTAGATGTTTCTTGCCTTGGCAGTGGGTCCTTTGATTTCATTATCTGAGGCCGAAT